CACAGTGGCATAGTGGTTAGCGCTTCTGCCTTGCAGCACTGGGGGTTCGAAGCCCGGTCACTATCTGCAAGGAGTTTGTATGTTCTATGTTCCTGTGCTTGCGTGGGTTTATCTCCGGGTACTCCGGTTACCTCCCACTCTCCAGAGACATGCTGGCAGGTTAAATGGCTCCTCTCTTAAGTTGGCCCTCATATGTATACATGTGAGATAGGGACCTTATATTGTAAGCCCCTTGAGGGCGGGGACTGATGTGAATGTGCAACTATGTAAAGTGCGGCGTAAATTATCTGCACTATATAAATACCTGAAATAAATAAATAATAAATAGACATTATTCATCCCGGGACAGTCCAGATCATTCTCATGTTATTATCTATCTACAGAGAGGAGAGTCCGGTATAGATCACATGACCACATCAGTAGGAATGGAGAAGAACCGGAATCACATGACTGAGAGGATACTAGACCTCACCCTGGAGATCATCTACCTGCTGACCGGAGAGGTGAGGAGGATTCTGGGAATGTTGCCGGCCATCACTCCTATTATTGTAATGAGAAACAAAGCTGACTGCACATGTATCTCTACACAGGATCATACAGTAGTGAGGAAAATATCCGGTGAGCCATTCGCACTCAATAGCCGTCCTCAAGGGACATCACCCATCATGGTGCCTTCAGGTCATTCCCCGACACCTGAGATAAGCAGAGACCAGAAGGTCCTAGAAGTCACCCAGAAGATGATCGAGCTGCTTACAGGAGAGGTGAGCGGTGCCGGGAATTCTGGGACATGATCCAGGAACAGACAAGGGGTGTGTCTGGGTGGTGACTGTATCATTGTGTGTGTCAGGTTCCTATAAGGTGTCAGGATGTCTCTGTCTATTTCTCCATGGAGGAGTGGGAGTATCTAGAAGGACACCGGGATCTCTACAAGGACGTCGTGATGGAGGATCTGCAGACCTTCAAATATGAAAAATGTAGAAACAATATATTTTGCTTCAATGAGCTGATATTAAACATCACCTTGGAGATCATCTGCCTGCTGACTGGAGAGGTGAGGAGGATTCTGGGAGGTCACATGACATCACTTATTTTTATTAGTAGGACATATCTTTTTGGAAATGTAACATTATATGTATTGTTGTATATCACAGGACTGTGCTGTAGTTATGAAGACATCTCTTGAGAATATTACAGAAAGGAAAAGTCCCCGCTTGTCCACAAGAACAAGACGAAGACCAAAAACCATCACCGTGCCACCACCTACCTTCCTGACCCTTAAGAAGACCACCAAGAAGATTCTAGATGCCACCAACAAGATGATCGAGCTGCTGACAGGAGAGGTGAGCGGTGCCGGGAATTCTGGGGCATGATCCAGGAACAGACAAGGGGTGTGTCTGGATGGTGACTGTATCATTGTGTGTGTCAGATTCCTATAAGGTGTCAGGATGTCTCCGTCTATCTCTCCATGGAGGAGTGGGAGTATCTAGAAGGACACCGGGATCTCTACAAGGACGTCGTGATGGAGAATGAGCCGTCCCTCACATCACCGGGTAAGAGGAGAGAGCAGTACGGAGGGCCCACCTAGATCCCCCATCATCTGATACACACATAGAAGCAATGTATTCAGTCAGTGTGTGTGTTTCCTACAGATGGATCCAGTAAGAGGAACCCACCAGAGAGATGTCCCCGTCCTCTGTATTCCCGGGATTCCACACAGGAAGATCTCACCGTCCCTCACCATGATCAGGTAGGAGGAACTCAACACCTAGAAGTGAGTCTAAACGCAATAAGATGACGTTCCTGTTCCCGTAGAGCTTACTTCTCCATGTGTTCTATCATTTTGGGGTTTAGGGTAAGAACCTGATGGATATGAAAGTTGAGGTTAAAGAGGAAGAAGAAGAGAAGTTTGTGAGTGGAGCTCGGCAGTCTATGGAGGAAGTTGGGATGATTCAGAAAAGTAAAGAGGAGGATTCCACTCTAGACATCGGCACAGGTAAGTAATAAACACGAAGTGTACTGATTTACGTCTTCAGTTCATACAAAGTATGGGGTGTGCCCAAAAGTTCTGGAGAATTAGCAGACATTCAGGAAAACATGAGGTAAGATGAAGCTAAATGATTAACGGTAGACCAGCAAAGTTGAGAAGCCAAGTCCTCTATATGAGCTTTAAATGCCTGAAGTGTTCCGATTTGTCAGTTTGCTTCTACGAGGATGCGGCGAGCAGTTTGAGGAGAAATGTTAGATAATTATCAGAACGTCACATCTTCTGGTACGATGAGACTAAATGATACCCGGAGATTCCCCCCCATGTCCCCAAACAAATGAGGAGGAGATACTGTACACCATATGAAGGTCCATCTCCATTCCTCAATATAACGTCATGTGACCAACAAATGAGGAGGAGATACTGTACACCATATGAAGGTCCATCTCCATTCCTCAATATAACGTCATGTGACCAACAAATGAGGAGAAGATACTGGACACCATATGAAGGTCCATCTCCATTCCTCAATATAACGTCATGTGACCAACATGGGGAGGAGATACTGTACACCATATGAAGGTCCATCTCCATTCCTCAATAGAACGTCATGTCCCCAACGAATGAGGAGGAGATACTGTACACCATATGAAGGTCCATCTCCATTCCTCAATATAACGTCATGTCCCCAACAAATGAGGAGATACAGTACACCATATGAAGGTCCATCTCCATTCCTCAATAGAACGTCATGTCCCCAACAAATGAGGAGAAGATACTGGACACCATATGAAGGTCCATCTCCATTCCTCAATATAACGTCATGTGACCAACATGGGGAGGAGATACGGTACACCATATGAAGGTCCATCTCCATTCCTCAATATAACGTCATGTGACCAACACATGAGGAGGAGATACTGTACACCATATGAAGGTCCATCTCCATTCCCCAATATAACGTCATGTGACCAACACATGAGGAGGAGATACTGTACACCATATGAAGGTCCATCTCCATTCCTCAATAGAACGTCATGTGACCAACATGGGGAGGAGATACTGTACACCATATGAAGGTCCATCTCCATTCCTCAATATAACGTCATGTGACCAACATGGGGAGGAGATACTGTACACCATATGAAGGTCCATCTCCATTCCTCAATAGAACGTCATGTCCCCAACAAATGAGGAGGAGATACTGTACATCAGGGCTCAATATTTCCTCTCGCCTTCTCGCATTTGTCGAGTGGAAATTGGGTTCTCAAAGTACCGGCCCTAAGCCGGCGCTATGTGACCCGCTGACGAATCAGGCACATGATCATGGACCGCGTACTTGACTTACGGAGCAGCTGCACGGTCTTCATCTGTGTCAGATGCAGACCGCAGAGCTGCTCCTGTCAGCTCCGCCTTCCTTCAGCCGGAGCTCTGACAGTTCTGAGCTCCCGCGGAAAGCAAAGATTTATTACTGAGGTCTGCAGCAGACCTCACTAATCGCCCCTAGATCACCAGGGATCGATCAGCCTCCTCACAGCTTCACAGATCTAAGCAGGTGAGGGGGCTTGCGGTAGGGGGGGGAGGGAGGAGTGTATTATTTGTAACGTTGGGGAGTGTATTATTGTGTATTAGTGTATGTATATGTAGCGCTCACCCCCGAAGGAGCCGCTGAATGATTGGGTACTTCTGTTTCACCTCTGTGATACACCTCAAGCAATTAATCCACAGCACACCTTGTGAAGTTTTGTAAAAGATTGAATGAACGTGAAGTGTCAAACAATGCACTTAGTGGCTCACCAATCACAAACAATAACAGGATAAGGCAGTCTGACACTAGGCAGCCGCGTCTATCTATTGCATGCACGGTAGCCTGCAATGTCAGAATGTCTCAGATATTACAATTCAATTAAATGCAATCAACACCAATGTCTCTACTTAAAAGTATCTACCCCACTCTAAACTACTGGCCAGTAGTACTGTCCTAGGCTTGCCAACGTTGGGGTCCATGCGGTGTAGCAAATGCGGAAAAGTACATGTATCTCAATGGCCAAAGACCTCTCGCCACTCCCAGCGTCGCTTCGGAAAGGAGGATGGCTGTCTGCAGAAGATGAACGTCCCTCTTTCTTCAGACCGACATCTGTGGAATAGGCGCAGTCATCTAGGAACTCCCGCAGGCGGTCTCAGCTCGTCTAGGGGCGTCTAGGGTACCGGGCAATGATCTCAGTCAGCTCCGTCAGCTCCACTCACTCAGCTGGGCAGGCTGGATTACTTTGGTAGCTGGATCGGCCGTGCAACCAGGCCGCGATATCCCCGCCGTTGCCGCGTCACTAGGCCTCAGTTCGAGCGTTCAAATCACAGTCTCTCTCTGTTCCAGCAGACGAACATCAGTCTCTCAAAGCACTCCTGCATAGAGCCTGTGTGTCCCTATGTGTCAGTGGCGACCACACAGCTCTGTTACACGCAGTCTTATTGGCTGGACCGCCGGTGCAACCGGGCCCCAATACCCCCGCCGTTGCCGCGTCACTAGGCCTCAGTTCGAGCGTTCAAATCACAGTCTCTCTCTGTTCCAGCAGACGAACATCAGTCTCTCAAAGCACTCCTGCATAGAGCCTGTGTGTCCCTATGTGTCAGTGGCGACCACACAGCTCTGTTACACGCAGTCTTAAATCGCACCCTGTAACACAGATCTATCTTCTCCAGATGACTGTCCCAGACTGAGGCTGCTCCGAAGTTGCAACACCTAAGCCTCCTGTTTCCTCACCACAGCATCCTGGGAGATGCAGTTCCCAAAGTCCTTTCCTCTTAAAGGAGCCGACACCACAACAGGGCTACATATATATTAGGCACCATTCACCCCATTATTTTAGGTGCGATTAGGGATTCCTGTGTCAGGAACTTGCATTTTCCTGCAGCAGGAATCCCTAATCTGCCATTTACAAGCAACTATCATAAGATCATTTAAGAGGGTGTGTTTAGGGGCAGAGTTATGGCATGGGACAGGGTAAGGGTTAATCATGAAGGAGATCACACAGGAGAGAGGTCATTGTCATGTTTGGAGTGCGGGAAAGACTTTAAGATGAAATCTGAACTTCTTCTACATCTCAAAACCCACAACCACGTGACCTTTTCATGTCCAGAGTGCGGGAAAGCTTTCACTGAGGAAAGCGAGCTTCTTAAACACCAGAAAAGTCACAAGGGTGAGCGTCCTTATGCATGTTCAGAGTGCGGGAAAAGATTTACTGACAAAAGAACTCTTGTTCGTCACCAGAAAATTCACACAGGTGAGCATCCGTATTCATGTGCAGAGTGTGGGAAAAGTTTTACTGACAAAGGAACCCTTGTTATACACCAGAGAATTCACACAGGTGAGCGTCCGTATTCATGTGCAGAGTGTGGGAAAAGTTTTGCAATGAATGGACATCTTGTAAGACACCAGAGAATTCACACAGGTGAGCGTCTGTATTCATGTGCAGAGTGTGGGAAAAGTTTTGCAAGGAATGGACATCTTGTAAGACACCAGAGAATTCACACAGGTGAGCGTCTGTATTCATGTGCAGAGTGTGGGAAAAGTTTTGCAATGAATGGACATCTTGTAAGACACCAGAGAATTCACACAGGTGAGCGTCCATATTCATGTGCAGAATGTGGGAAAAGTTTTCCTGATAAAGGAACCCTTCTTAGTCACCAGAGAATTCACACAGGTGAGCGTCCGTATTCATGTGCAGAATGTGGGAAAGGTTTTGCAAGTAATGGACAGCTTGTAAAACACAAGAGATTTCACACAGGTGAGCGTCCTTATGCATGTTCAGAGTGTGGGAAAAGTTTTACTGCCAAAAGAGCTCTTCTTAGTCACCAGAAAATTCACACAGGTGAGCGTCCGTATTCATGTGCAGAGTGTGGGAAAAGTTTTACTGACAAAGGAACCCTTGTTATACACCAGAGAATTCACACAGGTGAGCGTCCTTATTCATGTGCAGAGTGTGGTAAAAGTTTTACTGACAAAGGATCTCTTCTTAGACACCAGAAAATTCACACAGGTGAGCGTCCGTATTCATGTGCAGAGGGTGGGAAAAGTTTTGCAAGGAATGGACAGCTTGTAAGACACCAGAGATTTCACACAGGTGAGCGTCCGTATTCATGTGCAGAGGGTGGGAAAAGTTTTGCAAGGAATGGACAGCTTGTAAGACACCAGAGATTTCACACAGGTGAGCGTCCGTATTCATGTGCAGAGGGTGGGAAAAGTTTTGCAAGGAATGGACAGCTTGTAAGACACCAGAGATTTCACACAGGTGAGCGTCCGTATTCATGTGCAGAGGGTGGGAAAAGTTTTGCAAGGAATGGACAGCTTGTAAGACACCAGAGATTTCACACAGGTGAGCGTCCGTATTCATGTGCAGAGGGTGGGAAAAGTTTTGCAAGGAATGGACAGCTTGTAAGACACCAGAGATTTCACACAGGTGAGCGTCCGTATTCATGTGCAGAATGTGGGAAAAGTTTTACTGACAAAGGAACCCTTCTTAGACACCAGACAATTCACACAGGTGAGCGTCCGTATTCATGTACAGAGTGTGGGAAAAGTTTTGCATTGAATGGACATCTTGTAAGACACCAGAGATTTCACACAGGTGAGCGTCCATATTCATGTTCAGAATGTGGGAAACGTTTTACTGACAACAGAACTCTTCTTTGTCACCAGAGGATTCACACAGGTGAGCGTCCGTATTCATGTTTAGAGTGCGGGAAAAGTTATATTGAGAAAGGGTCCCTTCTTAGGCACCAGAGAATTCACACATGTGAGCGTTTGTAATTCATGTATAGAGTGCGGGAAAAGTTTTTCTGATACAAGACCCCGTCTTTCACACCAAATAATTCACACGGGTGAGCATCCTTTTTAATGTTCAGAATGTGACAAAAGTTATGCTGATAGAGAAAATCCCTCTTAGTCACCATAAAACTCTCACGGCTGAATATCCGTATTCATGTTTGGAGTGCGGGAACATTTTTCCAATCAAAGGTACCTATATTGAACGCCAGAGAACCCACACGAGTGAGCTTCCATATTAATGTTTAGAGGACGAGAAATGTTTTTATCAAAAGACACTTTTTTGTAAGTCATAGGGGCGAGTGTCGTCATTCATGTTAATAGTTTGGGAAATGTTTCATTTAAAAAGGAGACCTTAACACGCGGACACACGGATGACGGAGGCAGCTCACAGGTTTCATTTAATGTATCTCCGGTTAATTTTGTTTACCACGGGGGACATGCCTGCCTTACTGCTTGAGTTGTGGGTGTTTTTAGAAATGTTCTGTTTTTTGTTTTCTGTTATTTTCCTTGGTTTTGAGTTATATGCTGTTGTACATGGGGGAGGGGCATCTACTCCCTAGTGATGGGACCGGCGTAGGGCGCAGATGTGGGGGGGGGGTAGGCTC